TATGTTAGAAACTTCAATATATAAAAATGCATAGGTAAAAATACATAATGATATTGATATATTGGTCAAGTATAGCCAGCAATATATGGAAGAGTTTTAAACAAAGAAAACATCATTTCAGTTTTTCAGTCTCAGGATTTTGAATACAATGAGAAAAATATGACCAGGTTTCTGATATATTCCATGAAATAGTCAACGGTCAAAAGTATGAGTTAAGCTTCCAATTCGAAACTTTGTTACGTATGATGTACTGGCTTTTATGGAAAGGGAATAAATATAGGTATATATCGAGAGTGAAGATGATTTTGAAGATAAACTCGTGTGTTAATATAATAATGTGATTCACTAGAAAAGAAAAACAAATTAAATAATACAATATGCCATTATAACTATCTATTCAAATGTATTTTTAAACCCATTTTAAAGAGGAGGGAGGAGGTACTCAATTCAACTTTGTGCTTTTTGCATGTATGTTACGCGACATATTCGCCATTTGTGAACTAAGTTCTATTTTTATAGAATATCCTTTTTCAAGTAAAAATTGTCTCCGATTCTATACACTCATCATACAAAGCACAGCAATATTAAGCTGCTATTTACGCTCGTATTTTGTGAGAGTGCGGTCCTTCCGCGGTCGAACCGAGCTATTCGTGCTACAATTTACTACTAATATAGGTGTAGCGTGGCTACCACTTAACCCTCGTTCTTTGAAAAGTACGTTTAGCTATTTTATCCAAGGTCCGGTGATCTCTATTTCTCCTCTAGTCTTGTCGGATTGCCGTCTCATCGGACTACGAGAGCCAGATAATGAATAATGTCGAGGTCGAGCTGACCCATTCATGCTAATATAGTTTCAGTGTGGCTCTACCATGTATATACGTAAGACACATTATTTTATTTTATTAGGCAGATCTTAGCTTATCAATTCTATATTTTTTTATATTGATTTTAAGATCTTTAATAAAATGGATTTTCGCAAAATTACACCTGATTGTATTAACTATATAGTTATGATTATTGTATTACAAAACTATAACATTTCAAGAGTGGTCCCATTTTAAAACTTAGCATACTCAGAAAAAGTTCTTTGATCGTTTTCTGAGTGTACTAAGGAGATAAGTAAGATAACTAAGGTAAAAATACGACAAGAAAATCGTCTTATTATTTATTTAGATGCTTTATTTTGCCCACAATTATCGATGTATTTTTTTAGACTCCCTATTTATAAGACTAAGTCTGAAGTATAATCTATTTATAAGACTAAGTCTGAAGTATAATCTATTTATAAGACTGAGTCTGAAGTATAATCTATTTATAAAACTAAGTCTGAAGTATAATCTATTTAGTAAAAAAAAAACAGAATGCTTAAAATCAATTAGCAATTATTGATGAAGACATCGAATCATTGATACAAAAAAAAATTACGTACATTTGAATTTTTAACCCCCTTCTTTTTTGAAATCGGCTCAGATGGTTCGATATATAGCAGTTCCAATGTCTTTTTCCTCATGTTTTGAGGTTTCTAGTGGCATAACCATGTCGTTTACGCCATAAATGTCTAGACCAACGACGTGGAGCGAAGTTTATGGCGCAAGACGTCTTGGGATGCAATCGTCACACCACTCAAGCAAACAAGAAGTACTGTTTTACTTAATTTGCTATCTAGATATGCATTAAAATTATTATGCAACTAATTTAAGCGAAGGTAGCCTAATTGGTATGTTGCGGACTGCAAACTCAGAGAGTTGCCGTTTTGAATCCGTCATTCAACTACTGTAAAGAAATACTCTAAACATAAGCATTTTATGATTACTTAGAACGGTTTTAATTCATTAGTAATGATAGCGTTGTTAGTATTTTTTAAACCACATTAAGTTTTCCACAAATTGAGGGCCAATTTGTCAGTCTATAACAGACATCAAATAAAATATAACTTGAATAATTATAAAAGCCACTAAATTGAACTAATTAGTCGAGGAGGAATCGGTCGAGGAGGAATCGGCATGATTACTGAAAACTTCAAATTATCCTACTGATGATATAAATTCTTGTTGCTGTGGGACAACTCGTTGTCATATTGCTTAAACCGATTTTTTTTTAATTAACTTTTTATATTCCTTGTTTAAATATGCATAAAAATTGTCATATGATCTTTTGCGATGAATTTAATATTTTCGAATTTATAAATTATTAAAGATTTAAAAATCTAAATATAATTCTAGTTGTGATTATACTAAACAATTGCACTTAGAATTTAGAATGCAATTTAGTACCTTACGTAAAGCTAACGGTATCTAACGTTGTTTTATGTTATTTATCAATCCATTCCATTCATTACAGCCTATAAAATTTGATTGATGAATTGAACACAGACCGCCCTCATAGATGCCTTATGAGGCGATTTTGCCATAGTTGCCAAGTTTGGGAAGCAGGTGCAACCGCAGTTTCGTTATTATTTTGAGTTCTTATCAGGAAAATAACGATATTTATGCACTCATAAAATTTATTTCAATATGTATTCCCCATCAAGTCAAGGACAGTTATACCAAAACAGTAATATTTTTTTTGTAACAACAACAGTAATATTTTAATTGTTATATTTTACGCAAGAAAATGAAGTCCATTTTCTTGCGTAAAATATAACTTTGCACAGTTTTTAGAAAAGAACCGTATCTGCTAACGCACATCTATCTACTATACAGCAAACATAGCCCTATGTCTTAGATATACATCGTAGCGTAATTTAAAGAAACGACCTCTTAAGTCCCCTTTAGTTGTCTGACTCAAGCCTCCGAAGCCTCCTAGTTGCCTTAATTAGTGCTCACCTTAAAGTTTCTGCTTTGACATGGCTTTACGGCCGGGCTACGTTAATTTTACTCGTGGTCATTTAGAAGGATGCCTTCTTGGAAGAAAGGTTAAATTTCCTTACATTCGATATACGGAGTGCAAATATTTAGATGTTAAAAATTGTTTGTAATTAAAACTTAATAAAATGAGAACTCTAGTAGTTACATTGTACCATTTCTGGCTCACTGAGTCAGAAATGATACAAAACGACGTTCGTCGACTCACTATCCTAAAAATAAAGTTTTGGCATGCTCTGATCGCGAATCTGCGGTCCATTTTTGCGTAGGATGCACGGTTCCGGAGATGTGCAGATCAATTAACTCTTATCTAATTTTAAATATAATTTGTTAACACTAAATCATACACACGTAAGAAAATAATAGAAAAAAAAGTAAGTTTGTCAATAGAATAAACACTTAAAATTGCAATTAACAATTTAATTGGTGCCGGCGGGGATCGAACCCGCGTCGCGTACTGTGAAATTTACAGCTTGCGCTAACCATCTGCGCTACCACGGCTTAATCATATACACACACACAATATATAAATATAATTTGTTAACACTAAATCATACACACCTAAGAAAATAACAGAAAGAAAAGTAAGTTTGTCAATAGATTAAACACTTAAAATTGCAATTAACAATTTAATTGGTGCCGGCGGGGATCGAACCCACGTCGCGTACTGTAAAATTTACAGCATGCACTAACCATCTGAGCTACCACGGCTTAATCATATACACACATAAAATATTTAAATATAATTTGTTAACACTAAATCATACACACGTAAGAAAATAACAGAAAGAAAAGTAAGTTTGTCAATAGAATAAACACTTAAAATTGCAATTAACAATTTAATTGGTGCCAGCGGGGATCGAACCCGCGTCGCGTACTGTGAAATTTACAGCTTGCGCTAACCATCTGAGCTACCACGGCTTAATCATATGCACACACAATATTTAAATATAATTTGTTAACACTAAGTCATACACGTAAGAAAATAACAGAAAGAAAAGTGAGTTTGTCAATAGATTAAACACTTATATCTATGGCCTTTGATGCGTTGAAGTAACACAAATGTAGTATTGATAGATCCACTGCGGTCAAACGACCATACACTAACTCCATGACTGCAGTTGCTTGGTCTTATACCAGTAAGTAATAATTCTAATCTAAAGAATTTCTACAGCGGAATTGATAATAACTTTATGCGTCAACGAGCTTATCTCACATTTTGTTGCTTATCTCAACATTACGTCGTGTCGCGTCTTATTCAGTGTATTGATGACTCAAATACGTTTTGTATAACACAAAATAATGCAATTTAATATTTAGAAATCACTATAATTGATGATTCCTATGTTAGTCATTGAGTAGATTGTACTGTAATAATCTACTAATAGCAGTAATATCATGGATACACTAGATGTACAACAACATCTGAAAAAGATTCACCCCAGTCTAGAAAATAATGTTTATGCTGCTAATAGACTGCCCATGTACACCCACGTACCAACGTATATACCTAGTCAGGTCATAAGTATTGTCACACAGTAAAAACTTTTCTTTTAGAATGCTGGCCACAAAAAAGTTTATTGAATTCGAATTGTTCATGAAAATAAAACTGTATACTTTTTAGAATTTTACTCATTTTTAAATATGGAGTGGACGCTTAAAGAAGACCATGTTGCAGTTCTTGCGTTGCATCGTTGCGGTTACGCACCAATTCAAATTTTGACATACTGAAAAATTTGAATATAACCAAAAGATTCGTTTATCGTTCCATCAAACGATACAACGAAGACTCTAGTGTATATGACAGGTCAAGAAGTGGTCACCATCGGTCTGTTAGGACTCCAGCAGTGATAAAAGCTGTGAAGACGCGAATTTAAAGAAATCCCAAACGTAAGCAGAAACTGTTGGCCCTTCAGATGGGGTTAAGCAGAACCACGGTGAAAACGGTGTTATATGAAGACTTATGGCTTCGGGCATATCGAAGAAAAACAGGACATCGTTTGAATGCTCGTCTAATGGACCTGAGACTGAAGAGATGCCGCGCTTTTTTGAAGCGGTACGCGGGAAAAAAATATCGGGAAATTCTTTATTCGGATGAAAAAATTTTTACCGTAGAAGAAGGCTACAACAAACAAAATGATAAAGTGTACGCACGCAGTAGTGAACAAGCGAGCCACCGTATTCCGCGTGTCCAACGAGGTCATTTTCCATCCTCGCTTATGGTAAAGTTGGGAGTTTCTTATTTCGGCTTAACAGAGGAACATTTTTGTGAGAAAGGTGTAAAAACGAATGCAGTTGTTTATCAAAATACAATCCTGACGAACCTTGTATAACCTGTTTCTCATACCATGTTCAATAACAGGCACTGGGTATTCCAGCAAGATTCGGCGTCAGCTCATAGAGCGAAGAGCACACAAGACTGGTTGGCGGCGCGTGAAATCGACTTCATCCGGCACGAAGACTGGCCCTCCTCCAGTCCAGATTTGAATCCGTTAGATTACAAGATATGGCAACACTTGGAGGAAAAGGCGTGCTCAAAGCCTCATCCCAATTTGGAGTCACTCAAGACATCCTTGATTAAGGCAGCCGCCGATATTGACATGGACCTCGTTCGTGCTGCGATAGACGATTGGCCGCGCAGATTGAAGGCCTGTATTCAAAATCACGGAGGTCATTTTGAATAAACTATAGTGTCATAAGAATCTATGTTGTGTTAAGTTCACTTTGGTATATAAATGGTTACATAATGAATAAACTTGATTCAATTATTTTATATTAAACATGTGATAGAATTTATGACCTGACTAGGTAATATGCAATTTGGGTACAGATGATAAACCAGGGTCACATTGGGTAGCTTTATATATCGATACGAATGACATCGGTCAGTATTTTGATTTATATGGACGAGCATCTGTACGATATCATCTAGAGTTTTTAAAAAGGAATTGTAAAGATGGAACTGGAATGTTGATAGGACTCAGAATGAGTGGACTTCAGTTTGTGGCGAATATTGCTTAATGTATTTGTTATATAAGTTTCAGGGATGTTCAATGCATAGTTTTACGAGTATATTTACAGGGGACACATTGTACAATGATATTTTAGTAGATGAGATGTTTCGCTCCTATTTTATAGATAATAAGTAATAAGATTTTGTATTTTATAAATAAATTTTATTTTTCAAAATTAGGTAATGTGTTTTATTGTTGATTCAGATTAGTGTTGTAGATAGGAACAAAGGAGTATAATACAATAGCACTGATGAGCCGACGCACACGCTGACGAATAATAGATAATGACGGTATTCAATGAACAATAGATAAGAACAATGGAGCGCTAATGACGGTGGAGACCATCACCGGATATCAATTAGATAAGAGTTAATTGATCTGCACATCTCCGGAACCGTGCATCCTACGCAAAAATGGACCGCAGATTCGTGATCAGAGCATGCCAAAACCTTTTTTTTATTTTTTAGGATCGTGAGTCGACGAACGTCGTACTTGTACCATTTCTGACTCAGTGAGCCAGAACTGGTACAACGTAACTACTAATTCTTTTTCCATTGATGTCGTAATACTAAAAAAAAAACTAAAATAAAACTCGCCTGACAAGCGTGGTAACTATGGCCAATATCTCCTCTATAAGGCAATTAGTGGGGGAGGCCTGTGTTTAGCAGTGACCTATTGATATTTTGTAATGAATAAATAATCGAAGAAAAACTGTTTTACCAAGATAAAAACTGAAACTGTATTTTGCAAACTTAACTTTTCTTTAAATTTTGATCTAGGTCACATAGATTCCACTCGTCATTAAGTTCAGGACTTCCATAAAATTGTGATGTTTTAACTATTCACGGCTTTTTTCACACGTTCTGACTTCTCAACAATGTGTTTTTTTTTTCACTTTTCGTTGTTTAACTTAACCTATCACTCACTGCGCCCGCCATAACAAAAAACAGCTTTGTACCGAGGCGTCCGTCGTCACCTCAGCTGGCGGCACTTGTTTTAAATATTTATGTTCCTCACGAACTTTCATTTATGTTTAAAGAGGTTTTAGTTACAGTTATTTAAAGCCGATAAGATTTTCGATAAGTAGAAACAATAATCATAACATATAAATGTTTATTTTATTTTTTACATCTCTTTGTTTCTAACGGATCTTGATAAAGTGTACTTACTAACTATAAATTTTATTTTATGAATGAAATATCGTAAGTTTTTATTTTATTTTTATGTCCTTACAATCAATACAACATATTCTTCCAAAATTATGCATGTAATAATTATAATAATTCTACTTTTTCACTTGCAAACATTTGCTAAAAATTCGACAATAGACAGTTTGCGCGCGCTTACTAAACTCATTTTCAAAACCTTTTTGTGTATATATTTTATATCGTCTTCCTTTATTTTTCTTATACAATCATATAGATATAACATTTAGCAATTACTAGTAAAAGTATTTACTGTGGTATTCCAATAAGAAATATACTATTATTATCTTATTAAAATCTTATTAGAAATCTTGACCGTTACGAATTGTTCGCGTAGAGGTTTTTTTATTTCTACTTTTTTATCAATTAAAACATAAAAAGTTACTGTTGTTGTAACTTAAATCATTCAAAAACATTACGAAGTAAAGATAAATAACATTACTTACAGTTTTTTTTAAAAGAAAATCCAACTAACATCACAATCACAAAACTTCAACGATTACGCAACCAAACGCACCGGCACGCAAAAGCGAATGGCTGTTATATTTGATGATGTCTATGTAACCGAGTGAATATTCTTTAGTTCGTTCAGAATCGAATGAAATAGTGTTCAATCGAAAATATACTGTATTTTTATATCAATTAATGACGAAAATAGCAGCACGTAATGCGGACATGTATACATGTCCTCTGTACTTAGCGGTCACAAAACTTGGACCTGTCAACATGTCCACGGTATCTTAGGGGTGCAGGATTAATGAATTATTAAATTAATTCTCCATTGCAATAACAATACATTTGCAATAAGGTTTGATTCGAAAATATAAAACCGACGGAAGCCGTTCACTTGTCGTATTTTCTCAATATAAGAAATTGATAAATGGCTTTTGCGATACCATTCAATAATGAAAATGAGCAAAAAAGCGTGATAAATTTATTCTCGCTTGGAATGATATTATTGTGTTGTAATAAATAACGAGCTCAGTAAAGGTTTATATACAAAGTGAGCATTGAAATCTTCGGTTGGTATGTATTATTAATCTTTTGTCTGGTCAATTTGATAACAACAACAACGGTGGTCAATTTGATAACAACAACAACGGTGATGTTATGGATAACTTATTGTTTTATTTAATGACTAGCGACGCGCCCCGTCATTTCCTGGTAGAATCTATTAATGTGGCGTTCTTTAGATATAAAATAAACAAAGACCAATTTATTTAATCAGTATGAAAAAAAAACTCAGTTTTTCGGATAAAACACTAACCACTACAATACTAATACCATACTGAAAAATCTCATATATATCACATCAGGATAAATCACTACTGACTGCTTTCTGTTTTGTGTTTGTTTTTTGTTTCTGTTTGAAGTTCTTACAATGTTCAATTCCAAAGATTAGAGACAGACACAATACTTTTTTTAACTCGATGTCATTGAAAAAACCGCTCAGCTCGATATAAGACCGATATTCGATATTATAAGTAGAAATTTAAATTTTATTTAAATGTACAGATGTATAGACTTCATGTCATAACTCTCAAACACATATGTAATTTACTGCTCATCGCCTACGCGTTTCTTAAAATACGAAGATAATAAGTTCAGACCCAAAACTAGAATTTGGTGTTCGTCACCACGTCGTCGCGTAAGCGATTACATCATCTAATTTCGTTCTGTAAGTGACATAAAAGGCAACTACATGATAACCTCAAAAGATCTTGCGGCTTTCCATCGATAGTGATATAATATCTATCTTTTTACGTCAGAGTTTCGTACGGGACGTAAAATGGTATGGCTATTGTCGCGTTTGCTTAAGTATGACGATTCAAGAAAATCTCTCTGCAACAAGGAAAGCTCATGCAGGGTACTTTTGTGAGTGAGCGCCAGAATCGCCTCGTTAGAATTCACAGCCTAGTTACACCAAAGATTAAGATCAACGTGAAAGGCCAACTGATGTTTTATTAAATAAATATTTCAGGAAGAGATATCTTAATGCCAAAACTATTAGAAAACGACAGGTCACATACAAAAGCAACAAAATTACGGGAAGGAAAAATATCACTAAACGACATATTTTTGTTAATCAAACCTGATAAAAAATATCTGAATGACAAATAGCTATTAATAAGGACAAGTAAAAGGTAAGAGGCTAAAAAAATTTAAACAACCAAATACATTATTAGTTTTTGGTGAGTTCGGGAAAAATTAATTTCAAGCCAAAATAATTTATACCACAAATGTGATAAATTTACCAAGTATAAACAAGGTAGATTATAAATTGTCCTAAACGAATTTTTTTAAACAATGAAAATTTTCCTCGGTTGGTCACCGAAAACTTCAATAAATCCTCGAATTTTAAAATTTCTAGCGACATTAAATTCATCGTAGGAGCTTGGTAATACTTGTCTTTCCACCGATGATACGAAAAAGGCTTTCTGATGAAGAAAGGTTCTTATATTAACAATGCTTGGAAATAAGGAACTTTCTTGGATTGTCTCAATTTGTGTATTTATATTTCATAGGGTGAAATTGTAACTGTTGGGAGAAAAATAGTCTTGAAAGTTTCTTGGCGCTTCTTGTCACAAAGCCTTCCGCAGTAGGGAATATTTGAACTGATGGTATAGTTTTTTTTTTACTTAAAAACTGATTGGTAAAGGCTTATTGTGCATAAAACTATGTTTTAATTGTCTTAATTTGAATATGTTGTTTTTTCATCCTAAAATTCCGTGCGAACTTAATTCTTCCCCAGGAGTCGACTGATTAATTGTTGAGTCTTCCGTTAACGTTATCGTTACAGCCCACTAAAATCCACTGCTGAACATAGGCCTTCCTTATGAATTGCCTCATAGGGAGGATATTTTCCATAGTTGCCACGTTTTCCAAGCGGGTTGGCAAGCGAATTTTTAATCTTTATTTTAGTCGTTGTAAAAAAGACGCTTCTGTCCATCTCTTGGTTTTTTCCCCATTTCAACTCCTACGACACCCATAGGATAATATTTTTTTATAGTATAAGAGTGATAAACGAGCACACAATCTACCTGATGTTAAGTGGTTGCTGTGGACATAGAGATCTACATTTATCTTCAATTAAAAATCAAAATGCTGGTGAGTTGCCAGCCCTGAGCACTGAGATGGAATGCCTCGTTTCCAGTAACAACGGTATTCGGTTCTCTACACTCACCATACGTAGTACAGCATCATTAAGCTGCCATTTTACGCTGGTATTCTCTGAGAGCGTGGTCTTACCCTAGTCAAGTTGACTCATTCGTGCTGCAACCACAATATAGCTGCAGCATTGCTCTAACACGTAAGAAAGTGGATACTCTTACATTGCCACTGCACGGTTGTCAAGTCATGCTAATGCGATGCAGCGTGATTTTACCATATATACGAAACATTATTCGTTTTTCTAAATTATGCTAAATTAATGATGTTATAAAATAACAAAACAAAAAGGAAACG